CGTTCCACTCGTTTTTGTCCAAATAATTTTCGCGTCACATTCTTTACAAGTTGCCTCGTTTTCTGTTCTGACGAAGAATTCGTCAAACTTGCTCCGTTTTTTAGACATTTTTTCTGAAGTATTTAGTAATTGTAAAAACCAAATTTATTTTGAAAAAAACACTGAGAAAAACGCATAACTTTTCCAAGATTTCCAAAAAAAAAATTTTCGAAAAACGGTGCAAAGGTGCTCCGTTGAACAAAGTTTTACGCGGCAATTTAGAGCGTTCAAATTTTTTTTCCCAGTTTTGAGAATTTTTTCTGATTTTTGATAGAAAAAGTTTTAAATTTTTGAAGAGGAATAACAAAAAAAAATCAGGAATAAGGAATGAATAACAATTTAAAAATCAGGAATAAGGAATAAGGAATAAGGAATAAGGAATGAAAAATTTAAAATCCGGAATAAGGAATAAGGAATAGAAAAAAACACCCGGAATAAGGAATAAGGAATAAGGAATTCCGCTCATATCTGGTGTGCAGTGTTAGGCGATAACTTTATGTACTACACTATAATAAAGTTTTGGTTCAAAAGTTTCTCCGAAAAGAACAACGATCTCGAAGATCTGGTCGACCACGTGTTGATCTCAACGAGGATATCTTTAGCACGCTGGAAGAACAACCAAGAGTAACGTCACGCGAGCTTACACCAGGTCATAACCGTCCTCAAAGAATCATAATTTTTCATCTTCATGTATCTGGAAGTGTGCGAAAGTTTGGTTAACTCGCTCGTCACCTTTTGACGGATTCACAAAACCATTGCTTTGCGACATGGCACGTTCTCGGCTTACTATGAAACGTAGAACCAATCGGGTTGAGAACATTATCACTGGTGACGAGTAGAAAAAGACGATGGGTCCCGGCTAAACGGACCCAAAGGAGAACTTCACGAGAAAAAGTTATTTTGCCCATTTGGTGGGACAGTGAAGGTGTTTTCTTCAGAAGACTTCTTCTAGCGTTACTATCAATCCGGACCTCGACTGCACTCAAATGGAAAAAGTGTTGCAGCGTTATCAATAAAATTGCACGAAAAATTCCAGCTTATTGATTATTCATGACAACCTAAGACCACCCACAACTTTGAAGACCCGTCGGAAGCTTCTCGGAGCCTTTGTCTTTTGTCATTCACCGTATTCACCAGACCTGGCTCTATCCGAATATGTTTTGTTCCGTTCCCTGCAGAATCTTCTTGGTAGGCAGAAGTTCCATGATAGAAAGGATGTTAAAAAGTGGTTGGACGACGTTTTCGCTTCCCATTCTCCCGAGTTCTATGGTAATAGAATCGCTCAACTTCCATTGCGTTGGCAAGAAGTCATTGATACTTTTGGTGAATATATCAAACATTGAATTTCGCTTTCTTTGAATAAATTTTGTTTCGAAAGAAAAACTAAAAATTACAAAGACTTTTCGCTCAACCTAATATGTCATACTTCAACGCTTGCCATTTACCTTTTTGTTTGTTATTATTTGTTGATACCTGAATGAATTGTTTGAAGTGGTAAGTACATTTTCAAAATGTATAATAATCTGAAAACCTTCAAAGAAATGGGAAGTAGAGCGTTATTCTTCCAAGCACCGCTGACATAAATTATGAGACACACGTTTTTAAGGACTTTGCTATTTTTAAGTAACACATAGATAACCCTTCCTTCAAGGAAAATTCGGCCATTGTCTTTTCCCTGTTCCTTCAAACCGCGGCGCTTTCAAAATGAGATAAGGATGAAGCAGATTCCAACGGACTGAGATCCATTGCAAAAACGTCCTCGTTGTCCAAAATATCATGTTTCCTAAACTAGTAAGCATTTCAGCTCTAGGTAGTAATTGATTTCCATAAAATGACCTACCTTCGTCAAACAGAAAAAAAAATCACAACAAAACTTTTTAAATTTGGAAGCTTTTGGTAGGAAAAACAGAACAATATCATTCAAAGTTGAAAGTTCAACAGCATGTGACACAGTTCAGATAGGTTTCTAGAAAGTGTCAATGAAGAGTAAGTAGAGTATTTAGGTTGGCGGGAAAGTCTTTGTCACTTTTTCAATAGTTTATTTCTCAAAGAAAAAATAACCGAATAATTAATTATATTGTCCATCATTATCAACAACATGTCTCCAACGTTCCCTCAATTTATGGATTCCATTGCGGTAGAATCCAGCCGGGCGTGAGGCAAAGTATTGTTTGAGTGCCGCTTCGACCGCTCCACGGGAATTGAAGCTTCTTCCTTCGAAGGCACGTGTCATATCGCCAAATAACCAATAGTCGGAAGGAGCAAGATCAGGAGAATACGGGGGGTGAGGGAGAACATTCCATCCATATCCCATCAGCTCCTGCTTCACTTGTTTCGAAACATGTGGGCGAGCGTTATCATGTTGATAGTACACTTTCTTGTCTTTCAGGGCCGAACGGTCGACTGCTTTCTTGAGGTTTCGTAGTTGAGTAGTGTAGAGGTCTCCAGTTATTGTTTTGCCCTCGGGCAGAAGTTCCCAGTAGATGGGGCCGTCCACTCCCCACCACACAGAGAGCATAACTTGTTTCGGATGAAGGTCGGGTTTGGGGACATCCTGTGGGCTCTCTCCTTCTCCAACCCACTGGGATTTCCTGTGGTGATTATCGTAGAAGACCCACTTCTCATCTCCGGTTATTAGCCGGTCCAGCCATCGATCGCCCGCGTGGAGAGTGAGAAGAGTAATCGAATCGTCGACTCGGCGGTCAAGGTTGGCTTGAGTCAGGTGATGAGGTATGAATCGACCAAAAAGTTTTCTCATTCCAAGAGACTTCAAACCTTCAAGGACTGTGCTATGGTGAACTCCGAATGTGACAGCTAGTTCACGGCTAGATTGAAATGGATCCGATTGCAATGCGTGCTTCAGCTTGTCCAAATCCAACTCACGGGGTCTCCCAGAGCGATCCTTTTCATCGAGCGAGAAGTCATCTTTTTCGAAACGATGGAACCAATTGCGAATAGTATTGTAGTGAGGGGCATGTGTGTTGTACACATTCTTCAAGAAAGTTTCCGAATCCTTCATCGTGGTGTGAGATAGGAAGAGGTAAATCAAAACATGTCTGATGTGAATAGCAGTGGGAACAAACATATCGTTTCAATTACAGATGAGGAGCAGGGAAGGAGATGGGGACTTGTTTATATGGAAGGTTCTTATCACCTTGTTATTCACTAGAGTCGATATCATACACAGCCTCCATATACGAGAACAGTGATTAAACAAACAGAGTGACAAAGACTTTCCCGCCAACCTAATAGATAATTGAAACATAATTGGTGGGAGGAAGATTATGAGAAGAGTGTGAGGATGAGGATAATGGTGGGACAATAGACTGAGAACATTTCTATTGCAACGATGTAGGTTTACCAGGGATTGTCTGAACAAAAACACACGTGAAGTTTTGCAATTTTTCCGATTTTATTGCAATGGCCCTCGATTGGTTTCCTTGCGAACTTAAACTCCAATTTTTTTCATTAATATTATCTGATTTTGTTTTTTGTTTTAATTTCCTCATTCTGCGTTCAAAGTAGCTTTAAGGAACTGTAAATTGCGACCAAAGCTGCCAATTTTTCCAGGTTTTCCAGGGACTCAAAATTTCTATTTTCCTCGTTGTAGCTGTGTAATTTTTTAAAGGTCCACTGTAAATTAACAGGAAACTTTTTTTAGACCTTGAATTGGTGCTGAAAAAAAATATAGCTACAACGAGGGAAATCGAACTTTTGTGTTTCTGGAAAACCTGGAAAAATTGGCAACTTTGGACGTCATTTCCAGTTCCTGGAGGCTACTTTGAACGCGGTATCAAGGTAATATTTTTTCTAATATTTTTCACGTTTCCGGTATATCTGAATATAATGCTTTGTTTCTTGTAAATCTTTGACAACACCATCATTGACGTTTTTCTTCAGAAAACTCTTACATTAGTTTCAGCTAGTAGATGAACGCCCCGATGAGATATCAATCCAATAGAAAATGGCGAACTTGACATTACCTGTCATGTCATTCATTATTCGGTCACGTTTTGCCCAAGAGGGAGGAGGGGCATGAACGACTACGCTCTCCTCCTTTTTCCATTGATGGGTTACGAGGCAATTATGTCTCGTCTCAATATTATGTCTCGTCGTCTCGTAACTCATTCACATCATGTTTCACGTCTATACCAGCAAGCTGGTGCGCTTTTGGCGTGATTCAACCTAGTTTTTTTTTTACTTATCGGTCGCTCAGTTCTTTACTTTTTTCTAAATGTTCAAGTAAATCTATATTTATTTTTCAAGTTTTTCAAAAGTTGACAGAGTGACACTGGGACAGACAGACGCGTGTAGCCTTTTATATATATATAAGGAAGATTCTGTTTACTGTTCCAATAGCTACATACACACAGTAAGCACTCTAACTGAACGACCCTCTAACTTTTAACTTTGAGCTAGCTTATCTCGGTTTCTGTGAGAGATGTCAGTAAAAATTGTCAACTGAAAAAATGTCAGTGTTAGTGTGATCAACATTTTGTCAGTTTACAACTTTTTCATATATTCCGAGAAAATGAGATATATAAGCTCGAACTTTACAGTCTGAGAGGCATTCTATTAGAGTCTTTACCGCATGTTTCCTCTTCGGTTTTTTATCGATGAAAATTCTAAAAACTAGTTTATGTTTCATAAGGGAATGCTAGATAATTTCTTGCCCCCTCCCATGAGTCCCAAAAATTTAATGCATATTGGAGGAATATCCATCCAAGAAATGTATTTTTTGATGTCTTAAAAAATTAAATATGATCGAGAAAATTAACGTTTCGGAAATAAAATATTTAGTATAATCAAAAAATACTTGAAATTATAAAAACGATTAAACGCAAGATTCTCGGTACTCACAAAGAGACTTTATTCTATCTAACCACTCAATTATCTCTCGTGCTGTTTCAAACTACATTTCTCGGACTTACCAATGAACTTTTTCAGCCAAAAACAGGACCATGAGATTACCATGTCTTCTTTTCATTTTTCTAGTAGCTGTTGATGCTGGAAAAGTTCTCGTGTACAGTCCGTCGATCAGCAGGAGTCACCTGATTTCGAATGGACGCATAGCTGATGCACTAGTGGACGCAGGTCACGATGTTGTCATGTTCATTCCGGAATATGAACTGTTAACTGATTCCGTGGGGACCAAAAAAGCCACAGTCATCACACTAAAAGGATTTAGTGAGTTTACTTATTTTTTATTCAGAAAAAGTTTGTTTTCTAGGCAGAAAGTATGAGGAGGAAATGAAAGGTTTCGGAGTTGCCATGTTTTCCACTACCAGATTAGGATTTTGGGAGAGAACGATGTACGAGAAATCAATGACTGCTATGTGTGATGGTATGTGTTTAGCTCTAACATCATTTTATTCACAAATCGAGATTTTAGACCTCATGGCTAACAACGGAGCATTAAAACCACTTCGAGATATGAAATTCGACGTGGCGTTCAGTGAGCAGATAGATTTATGTGGTGTTGGAGTGATTCGTTACCTTGGAATTCAAAACCATCTTTGGGTTTCCACAACACCGATCATGGATGCCGTCAGCTACAATTTGGGAATCCCATATCCTAGCTCATACGTTCCTTCAATCGAAGAAAATGACAATGGAGACAAAATGAATTTCTGGCAAAGGGCTTTTAATCTCTACATGCATATTGGCTCGATTATAATTCACAGATACGGTACTGATGGAACAACTGAGGTGAGAATCTAATAAAACTGATAATTTTTGCAAAAATAACACAAATTTAGGTATTCCGAAAATACGACCCAGATTTTCCAAATGTTCGAGACATTGCTGCCAACTCTTCCTTGTGCTTTGTGAATTCGGATGAAGTCTTAGATCTTCCAAGACCTACAATCACCAAAACTATCTATGTTGGAGGATTAGGCGTTCCTAAAATAGCGAATCCTTTAGACGAGGTTACCATTTTAATTTTTCTTTCTCAAAATTTTACCCTTTTATAGAAATTCTCCAATATAATGTCGAAAGGAGACAAGGGTGTTGTTGTAATCTCTCTCGGTTCAATTGTTCCATTTGGTGATCTTCCTCTCCCTACAAAACAAGGAATGCTCAGAGCAATTGGTGATATGGCTGATTATCATTTCCTTATCAAAATTTCGAGAGGTAAAAATAAACAAAATAATTGGTAATCGGTCGAACTTTTTGTTTTAGGAGATGAGAACACAAGAAATTTAACAAGAGGATTGGAAAATCTCGATTTGGTTGAATGGCTTCCACAAGTTGATCTTCTTGCTCATCCACGTCTGAAACTGTTTGTGATGCATGGAGGAATCAATGGGTTAATGGAAACTGCACTCCAAGCAGTCCCAACTGTTGTCGTTCCAATTTTCGCCGATCAGTTCAGGAACGGGAGAATGGTGGAGAAGAGAGGAATTGGAAAAGTTCTTAAGAAGTTGGATATTGGTTATGAGAGTTTTAAAAGCGCGGCGGAAACTGTTTTGAACACTCCAAGCTACAAAAAGAACGCCATTAGAATTGCTGAGATGATGAGAAACAAACCATTCACACCAGAAGAACGTCTTGTGAAATGGACAAAGTTTGCAATCAATCATGGAGTTCTGGAAGAACTTCACGTGGAAGGATCTAGGCTGAATACCATTGTTTATTATAATTTGGACATTTTTGCATTTTTGTTTTTTGTAATTTTGGTTTTTTTCCGTGTTCTCTGTTATGCATTCATTCGAGTGGTGAGGAAAAATCTTTTGTGATAAACTCTTAAAAAAAACAAATAACTCCTTTTGTGACACGTTCCCTGCCTTTTTTCCTCTGTACAGAGAAATTAAGTCTTGTTTTTTATATTGTAAATAATAAATGATATCAATATTTAATAAAAACATTATTCAAAAACTTCAAGTTATTTGCGTTGGAGATAATGATGGAAAATTTGACCTGTAATATTTTTTCCAAGTATATATTACGTCATTTTTTGAAAATCTGAGGTTTCACATCATTGGCTTCTTTTCCAACAAAACAGATGTTTTGATAACATTTTTCTAGGCATCTAATCCCATGAGAGCAGGGATTAGAAAAACATATTACTCTGTTTGTCTCCGTCTCTTTTTTCAGCTTTTTCGCGCGACTAAGCTCTTGTTGGTTATTCATAGTAGTTATTAGTCTGTCTGGCATCGGAGCCTTGATTTTTTTCCTGTCTTGATTTTTTTAATGTCTTGATTTTTTTCCGAGTTCTTTCTATATTCAAAAAATTTGAATTAAATATTTTCGAAATATTAAGTTATATGTATTGTTTCCATTTACTTTTTTTTGGTATTCCAGTATTAAAAATATTCTTTATTCAAATTTTTTAACGGTTTAATAAAAGTGAGATTCCTGAACTGCATTCGAAGAAAATTTCCAACTGCAGGCTATAAGTCAACTTGGCAACGATTTGCTGCGGAATCAAATTTGAAGAAATGTTTTCGATGTATTGTGGGATCTTGCAACAATCTGTTCCTCTTATAAATGAAGTTTTAAAACCATACTAGTTCTTATATTTATCAATAAAGATTTTTTAATAAAGAAACAGAAAATAATGAAATTTTCAAATACCATTTTTTAAAGCTGGAAGAAAAAAATTGTCATTATAGTGCTCAAGAAAATGATAGGTTTACCCTCAGAAATTTATCATTTTCTGTTGTTAATCACAACTTAAAATAAGCGGTTACGAGTTTCCTAATTTTTGTTAAAAATTTACCGATTCCGATAATGATGTCAAAGACCATGTGAAGTTTTAAAACTGGCATTTCGTTTCATTCGGGGTTGTTTTCGGATTAGAAATGCGTGATTAGACAAACATTTTATACAAAAATTACTTTCCATACAAGCAAAAGCCCATATGGCTCCTGAAAAAGCCATAAGTTTGAAGCAAGGTAAGATAATTTTTGGGATATTTTTGGAAAACGCTAAAATCGGTTCTGAACCAAGTGTTCGTGTTCGAACTCAATTTTTAATGCAAAAAATAAGCTGAATGGCTTTGTACAAACTGCTAAACATCGACACGAACAAAAAACTCATCCCAATCTCAAGGATAAAATTGGTCTTTGAATTGAACTTTTGCTTCTATGTGAATTTGCATGCTTAAACAAAATTTTCAAACATTTATTTGCTTTAAAAATTTATTTTTGATAAATTTCGAGCAAAAAAATTTATACCCGGGCCTCCCGAACCGGTCCGGGCCTTCGACGATTTTCCCAAGTATGGTCTCTAGCGGGTTATTTCATTTGAAAAACAAGTTGCGCTCCAAAATTGATATTGCAGACCGGCAAGTGTTGTTTCCTCCGCAAAATTACATTTATTTTCCAAAAATTTAAAGTAGGTAATTTTCAGATGTAACAATAGGAAATTAACACACTTTTTCCTAACCCGTTTTCCTGCTTTTTTTTTTGATCTTCCATTTGAAAAAAAAAGAAAATCAATTAGTGGTTTCAAAGTCACGATGAATTTTTTATCAAATCAAATTTTTCAGTTCGTATGGTTTCTGTCGAAGAAAATGCTCAGTGCCTTTTTTCCCTTGTACAGAGAAAATAGTAATTCTTTTAGACAGAATAAATAATAAAATCATCACAAAATAACGGTTTCATAGGAAAAAAACAGTGTTTCAAAAAAAACGAAACAAAGCTTGAAAACGTTTGGCAAGTTATCTTCGTGCTTCCCGATTCACGGCCGTTGGGCAAAGTGATGAGTGATGCAGGTCATCTGCGTTTTGATCATGACAATATTGACATGTTTCCTTTGTTATCCTATGGCACCAAACTATTATATATGGTGATCTCCGAGACATCGCATAGACAAACGTTCCCATTCCAGGTACCTCTTGCGATCGCTGACATCTTTAACGTAAGAACATTTATCAGATAAGTGAGTCCAGCGATTGCAATACACGCAACGGATTGGTCCGAAACGATCCAGGGGGACCAACTGGTGGATTGGAGGAGATGGTCGCGATGGTTCGGCTTGTTCGGCTGCTCTGTTTTGCTCTACTGGGGACAATTCTCTCGGAACCCTAACTCGATCTGAAAATAACATTTTCGATGTCTTTTTGATGAATTATTATGGGGTTTTTCAGTGAGAAGCAATTCAGCAAATTGCTGGTTTTTTTCCCTTATGCAAAAAGCAGAAAAACGA